TTACTGTGTAAAATAGGTTATTCCTTCCATTCCTGTGGATGTCGTAAGAGGCGATTAAAGGAACGTAACAGTAAAGGAATGGACAGCAGAATCAAAACATCTCTACGCCTAACTACGGTTACCAACCGCCTGCTAAGCGTGGCAAGTGCTGGCAGAACATACCATATGGGGAACACTTTTGTACAGCAGAGGACAGCTGGTACCAGCTAATAGCTAAAATGACGATGATGTAAAAATTGATGAAAATCTAATTTAAGTTTGAAAAATAATATTGTTGTAATATAAGGATAGATATCTAGACGGGCAAGAATATTTAATTAAAAAGGTAACATTTTTGCCGTTTGGCTACAAAATTCTGAAGTACAAACTAAATGAAAAAGCTCTGTATTGTCTATTTCAACAGTAGAAAGGTTTCAAGTCAGAGACACCTGGCGCATGAACTGCACATAAATAAAAGAGAACACTTTTAGTTGCCGTAACATCCGAGGTGGTTCAGTCGCAGAAGCCGATTGTTCTTTTAACTTTACGTTGTACTAGTACATTAAATTATATGTATGTTAAATTTAAATACTTTTGTAGTAATAAATAAATATTAATACATCACTCACACTCTAGCTTGTTAGCCATTTTAAGTTGCATGAATATATACTTACAGCGAAATTTGCATTCGTAGATTACTTAGAATATATATATATATATATATATATATATATATATATATATATATATATATATATATATATATATATATATATATATATATATTGTCGTATATATATACTGCCATGATTCTGGCGTAAAATGAGCCACCCCTTCCTTTCCCGTAGTTATCATAAGAGGCAACTAAGGGAACTTAATCGTCGAGGGATGGGTAGCGTTCCTTATAAAACATCACAAAAGCCTATCTTCAGTCAATCTCAATTTATATCATATGAGTGATATCAAAATAATAGAACTCTTTATATTTCACATAACCAGACAATAATACAAATCAATAATTGTACTTAGAATATATTCGTATAGCAACGAGCCAGTCGATTTAATTCTGTGTTGAAAGCAACGAAATATATCAAATACACGAAACTTGACGGCTTGACATCTCTAATCTAGGAGCTATCCATATTTGAAGAGCTTTTAATCAAGAATGCCTACGTGCTCTCAAGGCACGTGTATATTATTATTATTTGACAACCAAGCATTTTTACACTGACAAAAATTAATAAAATATATATATATATATATATATATATATATATATATTATTAATATTTGTCAGATTATTTTATATACTTCAGCATGATATAACATTGCCTTGAAATCTGAAGCAATTTTGATTAAATGTATGTATATGTAATGTAAAGTTTAAAATATTAAAGCTGATATAAGCGTTTATACTACTATAACACCCACTATATCTTGAATTTTAAATTTATAAACTTATTTTTTAATTCTCTACATTATAAAAAGAGGCGAGCGTGGCAGAATGAAAAAAAATCAATAATTTTGATATGTATGTATATAAAAAAAGAGGAAGTATTCAATTCATATCTACACTGTTTTTATTACATTGTTACTTTACGTCCCGCATTAGCAATCAGATTCATTTTATCCGAAAACAATACGCCCAAGGGTATTCCTGAGTTCGTCCCGTTAAAGTCAATATCAAACTGTGATTGGAATCTATAGAAAATATCTAAATTCTGTCTATAGTGAAAACAAATCCTGTTTATATACTCTATATATTCAGTTTGTACATGAATCTACATCAATAAAATTTAGAAAAATCAATGATTTAGATTTTTTATAACGTCTAGTTTTCGGTATCATTAACTTGACCTGACCACATTTGATTATTTGCCTCGAAAGTTACTAATATTGTATTATTTATGTTATAAGCCACTTGTCATACGCTGATGAACCGATGACCTTAGCAAAAGACGTGCTTTTGATTAATGACTACGTTTAAATAGACATACTTATATTACATTCATAAAATATACTATTGAAAATATATTTAAAGAACATAGTTATAGGTATACTTTATTATAATATGGTAAATTGTTAAATATGACTCTTTTTATTATCCCAAGGAGTATATTAAACCACTAAGCAAGCATGGCAATCTCATTACAAAATAAAATCATTCTGTAAAACAGCTACGATATAAAATTTTCATTTTCTCTCGAACGTGAACTTACAACAATTAATTTTATTAAATAGTGTTATGATACTTGTATTTAAAAAATTAAAAAATACAATAGTATAAATGACTCTTCCCTTAGTTTATAAGAATTATTTTTCGAGATAAATTCAATCAGGGTTACCAGATGCTATTTTTAATTAATAAAAGTAAAATATCTATTTTCCAAACTTTTTCTTCAAATCAATATGATTTTCTTACGATGAAAAAAATTCGTACCTAGTTTTATTGATATGTTTTATTGTATATATATACCGCTCTATGGGTTAGAATAAAAATAAAACTATAAAAAAATGCACAAATTTCTCCAAACCAATTTCATTATTCTCCAAAAATTTCTTCAAAATTTTTTTGAGAACAGAATATTTTTGTTCTAAATTGCGAAAAAAATTCGCATTCTGGCAATGCTGAATTCAATAGCTGTTTACTCAACCAAATCTCTTACAGTGAATCCAGCTGTGCCGGAGGTCGTGAGAGTTAATCTTTTCCACACAGTCACCTTTTAGGTAGTTAATGGCGTGCGACCTTCCTGGAATATATGGAAGTTCTGTTTTCTCACTTTTACTTAGATGTAGAGAATCTAATCAAGTATTTTGTTTCATCTGAAATTACAGATTTTGTTATTAGAATGTTAGCGTGTTATTTAGAATCTTACGTGTCGTCTATAGTCACTTCTTTTTCTCTTTATTTTTGTTATACAGTTAGGTATATAATTTTGCTTTTTTTTTAAAGGACTTAGATTTAAATTTACTCTTTAATATTTAATAAATATTCAACAAGGATTATTTCAATCTATATTAAGCAAATTGTAATAAGCGAGTGATAGTAAGGATAATAAAATCAAGTTGAAGTACCAATGGGCTTGTCACATAGCTTTAAGGTCCGACAAACGATGAGGAAGAAAGGTTCTTGAGTGGTAATCCCGTATAGGCAGGCACAGTGGCAAATGCATTGCAGGGAGTCAATGGATACAGGTGGCTCGGGACCGTTTCTTATAGCGGTTTTTATTGTATTGGGCCTATGTTCAGTAGCGCACGCATAACGGCTGATATGATGATGATGACGAATGCAATTTGTTGTAATAATATAGTAATAAAACTTTAAAAAATAAAAATTTATACAGTGTAGTGTAATGTATTACAAATCCGATAATCTATCAAAAATATTTTTTGATAGATTAAGATCTTGTTTCAAAACAGTCTCGGTTTCTTTTGACTGATGACATAAATATATATATATATTTTTTTAAAAAATACTAGTACCATCGTCAGCTAAATATTGCAACGTGTCGTAGGACTATCGTTTTAATGCTGCGGTATAGGTTAATCTCTTCCATCCGATAGCTCCTTTCATGCTTAATGGTGTGAGAGTACCTATTCTGTGAGAATTGCGATTACAACGCTACTCACGTTTCGCTACTGTCCCGTGGAAGTTTACGTCTTTACCTTTGGACTTTCCCTTGATTGGTTCGAGCTTATTTTACTTTCGTTTTTGTCCTTTTCTTCTCTCCAATTTATTTATGATCGGGTGTTTCACGAAGAATTTCATAACATCTTTCCGAAAATTCTGTTCGATAAAAAATATAATATTTCTAGTTTTATTTAGTTTTATTACATTTAAGTGATTCATTGTTCAGTTTCATATTTCAAGAATCCTATATTGAGAATTGCAATAATCAAACAAGTGCCTTTGAAGTAAATATTCAAAAAGTTCGAGAAATTTATAATTAATAACATCATAATTTATCATTTACGAAATTACTATATATTTTAAATTTAAATTTATAAATTTAAATAAAAATGTACGTATTTTTTTTAATTTTTTTGTTTATAATTAATGTAATAATAAAGTAAGGTTTGAAGATCGAAGGACATTGCTTGAGCAAGGAGCAAACCGCATTGACCGCAAACTGTGGTAAGTGACAAATTAAATATGGGTTACAAACCCACAATAAAGCTAAAGTTATATTTAACAAAATATTGCAAAATTCACGACAGAAATATTTACTAATTGAGAGAACATCAAAGACTTTAAAATTTTAATCCATTTTATCATAATTATCATAGTTTAATTTATCCACTTCACTTGCTTCATTTAAAATATCGCCAAAAGCCTAACTACAAGTGTTATTTGTTTAGAATTATTTTGTTATGAAATAGCGCAAAATAAATCGTAGCTCAGTAAAATACTAACTGATATCTCCAAGACGCCTACCAAACGTAGCAGCTACTAACAAAACCCCCCTAATTAGGTCTTTGTTCAGCAGTGGACAGTTGATGGCTGATACGATGATAATGAAACTATCTACTTCATTATAAATGCCACGTTAGCTATTGTTCAAGGATAAACTATTACAGCTGAGTAAAAAATGACGCTAGAAAATATGGTCCTGCACTAATATTAATTGTAGCAGTTAACCAACCAAGACTTACTGTTGAAGTAAGTCGAATGACTTACTTCAATAAGTCGATACGAAATGAATACAATTATTAAATAAAAGACAAACATGGAGAAATTGATACGAGACCTATGCCTGAAGATAGATACGACGAGGAATAATATATTATTATTGTTACTTTTATCTTAGAAGAAGAAACAATCTGAAGGCCCAATTTCTAGAAATAATATCATAAAAAAAAAATTGTGCAAATTATATTCACTATAATTTATTTCCTCCCAACATTGAGAAAAAAAAATGTGACTTCTCATTAAAAACTGATGTCGACAGACTTAGTCATTAACTAAATTGCCCATGACTTAAATTGGCTTGGCGTCCCAGAATTTCAAAGGCAAAACTTACCTCGAATTTGGAGATAAGTCAATTGACTGATATAATATCCTTCGTCTTTACGGGCGACCTCTAATCAAAGGGACCTGAAAAGAGCATCAAGCCGATTAACTATGAATGGTCTGATTGAAAGGAAATGATTAAGCGTAGAATTTACATTGGGTCATGCCGTTTAGGATTTGGCGAATTTTACGGATAATATTTCCACAATCTATTGTCCCATTACATTTCTTTGTGAATATGAAGAATGGAATGAATTTATTCTCCTTGTGAATTCACGATTATAATATGAGTATTTAAATACTTGTTACTGATCAAAATATTTTCTTGTCCTTTCATGTTATCCTTCTATTGTACTGATATATTCTTCCTGGTTTTTGTTTATGACGATGATGAAAATTAGTGGAACTTTGTATTCTTATAACGTCAACATGATCCATATCGACGATATGGATATTCACCATACTCGTATACTACATGGAAAATTTATGGCCATAACAAACAATGAGAGAAATCACAGTAAGTTTATATTAATAGCAACGCATTTAATATTAGTTAGTATAATATGTCTTAAGGGCTCAAATCTTCACTTTTGATAAAGGTAGACATTTATGGATGGGGTTTAACAAAGGTTACATGATTGATGTATTACCGGCACATTTAAATGTACGTATTATTATTGAAGAGTTCACTAGGACTATTCATGTGTACAATGAAGAGGAATATATAAAGAAAAATATAGGAATGTGCAGTGTATTTATTGTTAACAATATTTTTTCTCTTAATAAAAATAATAGAATCAGTACAGAGATGATCTGTGGGATAATACATATTACGTTAAATTAGTAAAGTCGAGTAAATGAATTCGAGCAGGCAATTGATATCTGTTCGAATAGAAAAAGGAATATTATTCACTAACCGCTCACTGAACTATATTGTCAAACAATTGAGCCATGTAGTTGCAGCGTTACTGACATTCGAACAGAAAAAAAAAAATAAAAGCATAGGGTGGCCGACAACGCACGTACGGAAAACGTGGTGGTACTTCCGTATTCGAGTAAAATAAAATCTAGCTGGCCTGGTTTGACATCGATGCGCTATATTGGACGGCGAAGTACATTTGCGGCCAAACTAACTAGCTCTTATAACAAGTAAGGCTCTGAAATAAAAATAGCTTTACATTCAAATCATAATATAATTATGTCAAATTAATCTTTATATATTTATTATTGTATATCTACGAGTTTGTAAAACTGAATATCATTAATCACATAAGTATTTACTTCAAATTTTGCACATGACATAGACTATGAATGTAATACTGTATTCAAATTGTTTCAAGAATTCCCATGGAAACATAAATCGAGTTTCACATGGAAAGTGCGGTTTTTCCTGTAGAAGATATATAGCACAAGGACTATTTGTAGGTGAATATTTTATATCACTCGTGTGTATCCATCAGTAATCGTAAAGGGCTCTAGCGGTATACAAGGAAATTACATTACAATAAAGATGTATACAAATAAACATTGCTTACAACGTTTTATGCAAAGTTGTAGCAATTTGACAGTTGTATTTGTAATGGAATCAAACTGATAGAAAAATACAAAATATTATACTAATATTTTATATTAACAAGGAGAAGTTTTTAAAAGTATTTAATTAAAATATTTAGTAATAAAAAATTATTACACAGAAGAGAAAAGAAAAATTTATGTACATAGAAATAAATGTCATAAATTACAATTTACATTTATAAAACATTTTGTCCAAAGCGTTTTTAGTGATATCAATTATATAATAAAAGTTCGCCATTAATTGACGCCAGCTATGGAAAATTGTGAGAACTAATTCCGGAATTGATTTTACTAAATATAAATAAATTGTTAGAATAGCTCCCATAAGACCTATACCTCCCGTTATACAAGAATTATGAATTATTAATGTACCTAAATTGCGATTAAACGAAACTGAATAACATTTACGAATATACACGTTTAATAAATAAGTAAATACCAAACCACAAGTATTACTCATGCACGAGTAGGTACGTTAAACACTAACATTATGTCCATCCAAGGACAACGACCTATTCCTGGGACTGTTTTCATATAAATCTGTTGCCAACACAGTTTATTGTTTCATCCATTAATTCGTAACAAAAAGTATTTATTTTCATACTTGTTTCTAAAACAAATTCGGTACAAAATTTTATTCTCGTCTGCACACGGACTGTTTTCTATTTTTTTTTTATTTACAGGTTCACACCTCCATACGGCTTCATGTGTAGAACATAAGGGTAGCGAACGCTGCGTTTTATAGCCGTGCCATGTATCAAAGTTCCGCGGATATGTTCAGAATATCTGCAGGAGTCGGAACCTCGCACAAAAGCCCGGGTTTACAGCGAAAATTCGAAAACTTTGTTTAAAATTAGTTTGTGTATGCTTTGCGGTTTCTCATTATGGAGCGTCTTTATATCTGAATTGAGGTATTTGAAGTCAAAAGCTTTTAAAAGGTGGGATCAAATCTTTTTATATAATCTCCCCTATTTTGTATCAAAATTTTTATCTACATATATATTAGATAGGTTTAAACGACTACAATCAAAGAGGTTCTTAATTCGACTTTATTTTTATTTGGTATAGATTATCTCTAATTTCAAACAAAGTTTAATGGTTCTAATTTTTTAAAAAAGGCATTACATTTCTAGTGATCTTGTATTATTTTTGTAAAAAGTTCAAATTAATATTTAATCATATTTAAAAAACCAATGTCATAAATAAAGGGAGGATAATTGATCGCTGTTAGTGTATTATATTTTTTGTATTATTATTTAACTGAGCCAATTAAGAGTAAACAAATAAATATAATTTTATAAACAAATAATATAAAAAACAAGTAAATGATTTATTTAGAATAGAAATAGTAGCTATAAATATGAATGAATAAAAAAGTAAAATGGGAGTAATAAAATAAAATATTTTAAATTTTTAAATTAAGAGTACAAGAAGTAAATTAATTGCAATTTTAAATATATCTCAGATACTCTTAATAACAAAACTGAATAACTAAATTGAACATTGAATGTTGTGAACACTTCTGTTATTTAAAAAAATAAACAGTTTCCTTAGATACCTAGTCGTGAGATAAACACGAAAACATTTCCAAAGGAACTAAGTTTAAAAACATATTGCGTTATATAAAATATAAAACAAAAGCGGACACGTTTTCTCTTAAGTTTGATCGAGGCAATTAAGTTATTGTTCTTCAAACATAAAACTCGAAAGTACTTAAAAGATAACTTCGCTAGCTCGGTTTGGTGACTAAAGAAAATTTACGGAAATTCTTGTTACGTTGGTACGATGTAAAATTATGTGTTAAATTATATGAGACAAGATATCATTTAAATTTATTTGGGGAAAGTACCTCCATTGCTAGCGTCAGTTGCCGAGAAGGCTCAGGCGTCGTTATTTGTAATGATGTTTTTATTTACACTTTGTTACACAGAAGTTGGAGTACGTATGGTTTTTTTTTATGTTACTACAGGGTCTCAGCAATATCATGGTCTCCCCTGTGACTTTGTTACCATTACATTTAAATATTTTCATATTTAAATGTGACAATATTAATAAGATTTTACGAGCCTTACCCGTTGTCGTATACAGGGTTGTTTGATACAATCGTTTTTATTAATGTGTACCGACTCCTCAACCTGTACCTAAACTATATAACATATAGAAATATGACGTTAGTGTAGATAGTTTTTCTTATAATTCTTTTGTATTATCATCAGAAACATCAAAGAATTACTTGCTGATACCCATAGTCATGCGTTACCATTATTCAAGACGAAGATAATAATTTTATTAAAACCGTGTAATTTGACTGGCATATTTATTAATTTTATGCTTTTAATACCGCAAACCTATAGGTAAAATATTCTATCATATATTATTAAAATCCAGCAATCAATATGAATATTAACATATTAAAGAATATATCGTTTAAGGTATCCCTACAAATTGTTCAAATAATATTGCTTAACCGCGAAGCAAAATTACCAAGCGTTTTGTGTGTACTTACTTTGTTACAAATATAACGTTGGCCACTTTTACGATTAGGAATTTGGCGAAACCCAGTAAATACTGAACATTTTCAAAATAAATTCTTACACCTTATAACGTTGACATAAGCTTCATATTACAATGGCAGATTGAATACCGCAAGAAAATTTAAGGTAGTATGTAGTAGCAGTAAAATTCACACACTCAAAGAAGCATGAACTGAAATATAAACAGGTTATGGAAAACCGTAAACTGAAATGTTGATAAAGAGAGTATGAATAAAATCCCCCAAAGTTACCTACTGTTTACTGAATGCAGAAAGGGGCACGGTTCTATTCGTGAAGTTAATCATTGGAAAAGGGAGTCAAAAGCCATCGGTTTAGTTTTGTGGAAACAATAAAATAATAATGTAGGTACTTATATTTTTATTTTTGTTCTTGAATATATGTATATATTCTTTATTATATCATATATAATTTCAATTAATTTTAATTGAATTTTAATTGAAAAGAATGTCAACTGTTTTCATATAAACTTATGCTGCTTATATTGTCCTGATTGTCGGATTTGCCATATAGTATGAAGAATGTCGTTTTTGACCAATATTTCTTGGGGTAATGTAATATTAAATTAATGTCCTTTCGTAATCATCATTATTGTCTCAAATATGCTGTACAATTAGTATATATTATATTTTCATAATATTTAAATAAAAAAAATGTGAAGACGAAACTTACTTCTAATAAAAATAGTTGTTATAACACACTGCTAAACAATTTCTTAAGGAACAACTTCACAAGGAAACGGGAGATACAAGGGAGTTTTCTTTGTGCCGGTAATCAATCGTGTTTAGAGGATATCCTTTGATCCCCAGACAAGCAGTGGTAACAATCCAAACTATTTCCCATAAAAGGGGTTCGACTAAAAATAGGCGAGTTTCGGGTTATGGTTGGCCTAAAGAAGTAAATAGATTTATGACATAACTAACTGTACACTTGACTACATGCGCATAGTATCTACTT